AGCAACTGGTACCACAGAAAGTGGTACTACCGGAAAAGGTACCACAGAATGTAGTACCACAGAAAGTTACCAAGTACCACAGCAACTAGTACCACAGCAAGTGTTACCACAGCAACTGGTACCACAGAAAGTTACAAAGTACAACAGCAACTGGTACCACAGAAGCTGGTACCACTCCAATTGGTACCACAGCAACTGGTACCACTCCAACTGGTACCACTCTAACTAATACCACTCCAACTGGTATCACAGCAACTGGTACCACTCCATCTGGTACCACAGCAATTGGTACCACTCTAACTAATACCACTCCAACTGGTATCACAGCAACTGGTACCACAGAAAGTGGTACCATAGAAAGTGGTACCTTAAATTATAACCAGTTTTATAAAACCAAAATGATGATAAATATTTACACTTTTTCGATCATTAGGAACAGTTAAAATTTCATTAATTCACACACCGAATTTAAAAAACCCAAAATTTTATTAACGCAACAGAAAAATTTTGGTTGCTTTAATACCGCAACCATTTCTCTTTTCACACCCAAAAAAACAAGTTCACTTCTGTATAGTTTTAAGCAAATTTTTTTATTTAACTGACATTTTTTTTCAATAACTGCACATTTTGTTAAGTTAACATATATGCAAATAAATTGTGTAAACGGAGTAAAAAAAAAAGAAGCAAAAATTTTCGTACATATTTTTGTTCTCGAATAAGAGCTCTCATTATCAATTCATAAAATTTACGTTGTGTGTGTGTGCTGTTAACTTAGCAGTTTGACAAGATGATTTTTCTCGCAAATTCTACTCTCACTCTCTTGTATGTATACATATATACTGTCGCCCGTGGGTACACCATGAACTCCCAAGCCCAAAACCCATAGAAGGCTCGATGGTTTGACTTATTCATAGTGACGTCACTACATCTTTTTCTACATTTCTTCTTATTCTAACCGACGTTTCCTTTTCATTTTCTGTCCTTCGTGTATATAAATTGCGTTTATTCGCGCACAGAGAGAAAGAGAGAGAGAGAGAGAGAGAGAGAGAGAGAGAGAGAGAGAGAGAGAGAGAGAGAGATAGAGAGAGAGAGATGAAAGAGAGTATAATATTCATTGCCAGACAAGTCATTCGAGCGTCGAAAACGGTAGACCGGTAGGTTCCGTTGCGGAGGAGGCGTTGGATGCAAAAAAGAAAAAAGAAAAAAAAAATGTACATACACACCGCGATCAAGCCTTGTCATTAGTTTGGAAAAAAATTCCCACAGACACATTTCGATATCGAAATCACTATATAGGAAAAAGAGAAATCATGACCTATACCAAGAAACAAGATCTTTTTTTTCAATCTGGATAAACATATGCTATTATCAATTCTTTTTTTTCTGCCTATTTTTTTTTTATCAATTTATTGTCAATATTTAACACATTTTCTAATTAAATAAATATTTTAATTTTTATATAGCCTCCAACAAATTTAGAAATTATTTATCAATTTTATATTGTTAAATCTGGAAACAAATGTTTTCTTTTTTCTTTTATCAATTTATTGACACATTTTTTAAATAAATAAATGTTTTATTTATTATTAGATTATATGTGTTTACTGATCAAATAAAAGTGAATTTTAATTGTATAATATTGATGAATTTATTGTTTTGTGAATTATATAGAAAAAATAATTCTTTTCCAAATACTTGATTTGGAAAGAAATGATTTTTTTACCTCTACATACAAAAAAAAGTGAATTTTGTTCGAGTGGGAATAAAAAGAATTGCCTTTTTTTAAAAAAAAAAATTTGAATTTAAATGAGGACCATGACCATGATGATGTCATTTTATTGAATGACGGATATACTTTCTCTTCCGCAATCCGCTTTTCGTGTGGTCTCTGCAAAAAAGCTCATTGGAGCCATAAAGTGCAACAATTTATTATATATCTCATAATGATTGTATGCATGTTTCTGTGTATATGTGACAAAGAAAAATCCAGATATATCCATTTTCGTCGATTTGATATTCGATCTTTTATCTGATTTACAACATTATTTATACAGACACATTTATTTTGAATCAAAAATGCATACATATATATATTGAATTAAGATGTCGTGCTGCAATGCAATTTTTAATGAATATTAAAAAAAAATGAAGTTGTCGTGTGACGTACGTGTGTATATGAAAAATGATGAAATTTTTTTAAAAAATTATTTTTATAGGCAATTTTTTTTTTTATTTTATTATTATTATTATTTTTTTTTTTTTGATAAATATGATATTGAATCGGTGTGTGGTGTGTCTTTGAAGGTCAGACGCGGACCTGTTAGATTGAACATCTCTCCCATTGACTGAGTAGTGCTCTCTGTGGCGCTCACTGACACCTGTTCATTCAGTCGGCACACGTGCTGAAAATGCTAAGTGGTTCGCATAATAGACACGTTCCCAGGTGAGTCAGCACCTCTTTTTTATCTGTGGAATCTCATCAAACGAATTGCTCTATCACCATCACTAAACTAGGACAATCGCAATAATAATTTGATGAATTAACCTTATATTTCGTCATTATAATATATAATTTTCTCATTATAAACGTTAAATTTTTTCATTTTTCAATGTATTACAATAAAATGTTATTGTTATTTGAATTTTTAGAATAATAATAATTATTATTATTCTTATATTATAATAATTATTGTTATTATTAATTATTCTTTTGCTTCATCAAGAAAAAGTTTGGTATTTTCAATATTTACGAGACTATTATTAGAGTTTCGTGGTTAATGCGCGAAAGCCTTATAGTTTCACTTTGGTGTTCGTCCATCCGTCTGTCCGTCGTAAACTCGTATGGTTGCCATAGGAATCGGTACCACAGAAAGTTACAAAGTACCAAAGTAACTGGTACCACAGAAAGTTATAAAGTACAACAACAACTGGTACCACTCCAACTGGTCTAATATGCCACAGCAATTGGTACCACTCCAACTGGTACCACAGCAACTGGTACCACAGAAAGTTATAAAGTACCACAACAACTGGTACCACAGAAAGTGGTATTACAACAACTGGTGCAACAGAAAGTTACGAAGTACCACAGCAACTAGTACCACAGAAAGTGGTACAACAGCAACTGGTACCACAGAAAGTTACAAAGTACCTCAGCAACTGGTACCACAGAATGTGGTACCACAACAACTGGTACAACAGCAACTGGTACCACAGCAATGAGTACCACAGAAAATTACCAAGTACCACAGCAACTAGTACCACAGAAAGTGGTACTACAGCAACTGGTACCACAGAAAGTTACAAAGTACCACAACAACTGGTACCACAGCAACTGGTACCACTCCAACTGGTACTACAGATTGTTACAAAGTACAACAGCAACTGGTACCACTCCAACTGGTACCACAGCAATTGGTACCACTCTAACTAATACCACTCCAACTAGTATCACAGTAACTGGGACCACAGAAAGTGGTACCATAGAAAGTGATACCACCGGAAGAGGTACCACAGAAAGTAGTACCACAGAAACCACTTCCATAGTACTGGTACCATAGTACTGGTCCCAGTACTGAGCAAGTATGTCTTTTTTATATTATTACAGAATTTGCATTTAATTTCAAACTATTAGTATAAAAATCATTCAATTTTCATAACAAAAAAAAGTGCATTGACCTTAAATAAAGTCATTATTGCAGCTGAATTTTGACTCATCACATGAACAATGAATGTTTGCGAAAAAAAAAAGAATTTGTCATTCTGAAAGTAAAAACCTGATCATCCCACGAGGACAACGGGATTTTTTTTTATATGTGTATATATGATTAATCAAATTATTCAATGTGGATGAATTTTTATTCAAAATAATAGAAACACTGCTTTATAATTAAAATACAACAGTAAAAAATTGTGCAATACTATTTTCTAAAATCGATTAAAATAAAATTGCCAATTCCATTTAATGTGAATGCAATGACTATTTTTAAAGTTAATAGTGTATCAGTAAATTTTTTTTTTTGTCACGTTTGGGTCAACATATAATAATTTATCATCAACTGTATACTCAAGGTGTGTACAATAGAGGCGTACATAAATATATATATATATATATAAAACTCCCGTATTCGTGGAACGTCACATATCGACGAATCCCCTTTTACGTCATTGACAGATTTGAAAAACGTAATGATGACGTTTTAACGCCGTGTTCCACATCATTGATTCAATATTTACAGAAAGAATACCGGAAGAGAGTTAACCCGTTGCAGTGAACCGTTCAATATACTTATAATTGGAATAGTATATATGTACATACGTTTAAAAGAAATGACATAATTCAATGAAAGGAGCGAGTCACTTCCGATTTTGCACGTGGGTGTCGCGAATTTAATCGAAAGTAATATACGCGTACTTTACTCGAAAAAAATATATATAATAAATATAAAAAAAATATTTATAATTATTGTTATAATAAAAATTATAATAAAATTGAAAAAAAAATTATATTTTATTTTTTAATATGAATAATATAAATATAATAATACTAGATATATGTTATTATTTGTAATGTTTGCAATTTTATTCTAATTTGTTTTGTATATTTTTTCTATTATATATAATTGAAATATAATTACACGCCGGTTTGATAATTACAATACAAAGAAAATTTGAAAATATATGTTTATACCTTTTATGTTCCGGAAACATTAATTTTATGCTTTAAAAATAAAATTTATCGTGTACCTTTAATGTATAAAGAGCAAAATGTAGATTTCTTTTTTTTCGACAGTCGCATAAGTCTAATATTCAAATCTTTAGGGTGGATCGCACAAGTTATATGGTGCTTGGGATCAAGCGTAGGTGTTATAAAAAAAGAAAAAAAAATTGCTTTGAGAAATTGTAACACATATGTTCTTTAAAAAAAGCCCTTCGATTTTATTATTTGAGAAAACAAAGGAAAATTAATAAACAAATAAATTTTTTGGAATAATTAATAATTATTCTAAATGAACATTATGTTTGTCATAATACTCATAATAACACATATTGTTACACTGAAACAAAATTTATTTGACTCAAATAATCAACACAGCAACTGGTACCACAGAAACTAACAACCACTCCAACTGGTACCACAGCAATTGGTATCACTCCAACTGGTACCACTCCAACTGGTACCACAACAACTGGTACCATAGCAACGGGTACCACATCAACTGGTACCACAACAATTGGTACCACAGAAGCGTACAAAGTACCACAACAAATGGTACTACAGCAGCTGGTACCACAGAGAGTTACAAAGTACCAAAGTAATTGGTACCACAGAAAGTGGTACCACAGCAACTGGTAGCACAGAAAGTTACAAAGTACCAAAGTAACTGGTACCACAGCAACTGGTAGCACAGAAAGTTACAAAGTACCAAACTAACTGGTACCACAGAAAGTGGTACCACAGCAACTGGTAGCACAGAAAGTTACAAAGTACCAAAGTACCACAGCAACTGGTAGCACAGAAAGTTACAAAGTACTAAAGTAACTGGTACCACAGAAAGTGGTACCACAGCAACTGGTAGCACAGAAAGTTACAAAGTACCAAAGTAACTGGTACCACAAAAAGTGGTACCACATCAACTGGTACCACAAAAACTAACATCCACTTCAAGTGGTACCACAGCAACTGGTACCACTCTAACTGGTACTACAGATTGTTACAAAGTACAACAGCAACTGGTACCACAGAGAGTTACATAGTACCAAAGGAACTGGGACCTCAGCAACTGGTAGCACAGAAAGTTACAAAGTACCAAACTAACTGGTACCACAGAAAGTGGTACCACAGCAACTGGTAGCACAGAAAGTTACAAAGTACCAAAGTACCACAGCAACTGGTAGCACAGAAAGTTACAAAGTACTAAAGTAACTGGTACCACAGAAAGTGGTACCACAGCAACTGGTAGCACAGAAAGTTACAAAGTACCAAAGTAACTGGTACCACAGCAACTGGTAGCACAGAAAGTTACAAAGTACCAAACTAACTGGTACCACAGAAAGTGGTACCACAGCAACTGGTAGCACAGAAAGTTACAAAGTACCAAAGTACCACAGCAACTGGTAGCACAGAAAGTTACAAAGTACTAAAGTAACTGGTACCACAGAAAGTGGTACCACAGCAACTGGTAGCACAGAAAGTTACAAAGTACCAAAGTAACTGGTACCACAAAAAGTGGTACCACAGCAACTGGTACCACTCTAACTGGTACTACAGATTGTTACAAAGTACAACAGCAACTGGTACCACAGAGAGTTACATAGTACCAAAGGAACTGGGACCTCAGCAACTGGTAGCACAGAAAGTTACAAAGTACCAAACTAACTGGTACCACAGAAAGTGGTACCACAGCAACTGGTAGCACAGAAAGTTACAAAGTACCAAAGTACCACAGCAACTGGTAGCACAGAAAGTTACAAAGTACTAAAGTAACTGGTACCACAGAAAGTGGTACCACAGCAACTGGTAGCACAGAAAGTTACAAAGTACCAAAGTAACTGGTACCACAGCAACTGGTAGCACAGAAAGTTACAAAGTACCAAACTAACTGGTACCACAGAAAGTGGTACCACAGCAACTGGTAGCACAGAAAGTTACAAAGTACCAAAGTAACTGGTACCACAAAAAGTGGTACCACAGCAACTGGTACCACTCTAACTGGTACTACAGATTGTTACAAAGTACAACAGCAACTGGTACCACAGAGAGTTACATAGTACCAAAGGAACTGGGACCTCAGCAACTGGTAGCACAGAAAGTTACAAAGTACCAAACTAACTGGTACCACAGAAAGTGGTACCACAGCAACTGGTAGCACAGAAAGTTACAAAGTACCAAAGTACCACAGCAACTGGTAGCACAGAAAGTTACAAAGTACTAAAGTAACTGGTACCACAGAAAGTGGTACCACAGCAACTGGTAGCACAGAAAGTTACAAAGTACCAAAGTAACTGGTACCACAGCAACTGGTAGCACAGAAAGTTACAAAGTACCAAACTAACTGGTACCACAGAAAGTGGTACCACAGCAACTGGTAGCACAGAAAGTTACAAAGTACCAAAGTACCACAGCAACTGGTAGCACAGAAAGTTACAAAGTACTAAAGTAACTGGTACCACAGAAAGTGGTACCACAGCAACTGGTAGCACAGAAAGTTACAAAGTACCAAAGTAACTGGTACCACAAAAAGTGGTACCACATCAACTGGTACCACAAAAACTAACATCCACTTCAAGTGGTACCACAGCAACTGGTACCACTCTAACTGGTACTACAGATTGTTACAAAGTACAACAGCAACTGGTACCACAGAGAGTTACATAGTACCAAAGGAACTGGGACCTCAGCAACTGGTACCACTGAAAGTTACAAAGTACCAAAGTAACTGGTACCACAGCAACTGGTACTATTCCAGCTTGTACTACAGAATGTTACAAAGTACAACAGCAACTGGTACCACAGCAACTGGTAGCACTCCAGCTAGTAATACAGAATGTTACAATGTACATCAGCAACTGGTACCACAGAAACTAACAACCACTCCAACTGGCACCACAGCAACTGGTACCACTTCAACTGGTACTACAGATTGTTACAAAGTACAACAGCAACTGGTACCACAGAAACTGGTACCACTCCACCTGATACTACGGCAATTGGTACCACTTTAACTGGTACCACAGCAATTGGTATCACTATAACTAATACCACTCCAACTGGTACCATATCAACTGGTACCACAGCAACTGGTACCATAGCAACTGGTACTACATCTTGGATAAATATTTATTTTATAATAATCAAGTAAGCGATCATTTGAATCAAATAAATTTTTTTTCTTAATGTCGAATTATTTACTTCTTGTTATAATTTCGCTAACAAATTACAAATAACAGTATTTAAAAAGATTTTTCCCTCCTTTAAAAAAAAAATGTTGCATGGTCTCATTAATACAGGATGATTCCTCAAGTTATAAACCCTCGTTAGCAGAAAGTGTTTGTCGGTGTATAATTTTTTTTCGCGCTCATTCTCATTCCAATATTATTTTTCTTTGTTTTTTTTTTTGTTCTTTTTTGTATATATATATATATATATATACAAAAGTTGTTGAGGTGAAGATAGGTTGGTCATCGGCATGAATCTTTGTTGTCCGCGGTTTGTGTGTGGTTTATTTAAATAAAGCACACATTAATATTTAATACTCTCTCAAAGACCGACGGAATAGCTCAGTTGGTTGGTGCTCCAGGCTTTGCGGGTTGAGCGAACGAGGTTCGCGCCCCCCGTCAGCCGGGGATTTTTCCGACACGTGAGCTATTCTGAGCGGGAGGTTTGACGTCTAGGTGCGACGGTATACATTGTCGATTAATTGTCCGATGTATACCGCCGAAACTAGACAGTCGATAAACCGGTTGTACTCAGAAGAGGTTTTTCTACAGTTTCCCTCTTCTCTGGCGAGAAAACCCAATGACGGGTGGTTCAGGCAAAATGCGAGTACTCCTATCTTCGAAAGTCGCACTGTAGGCGCATTAGGTTAAAAATTTGTAGAATGGTTATGCTTCATCCATAAAAAGTATTTCTCGGGGACTCTTGTCGAGCGCGTAATATGCCAATAGGGCAGGAGTATAAACGAAAAAAAAAAAATACTCTCTCAAAGAGTGTTTTAAGTGGGAGTTTATGTTTCTTTTTTTTTCGTTTTGTATGCAGCGCGCGAGTCCTATGTAATTATATGAAACCGGATGCCCGAAAAAGTAAAAACACCCTGCTTAAATTTTTTTTTTCCCAAACCATTCTTCTTTTGCCTATATATAGTTTTTTTTTCTTCGCGTATAAAGAAACTGCAAAATGCTGCTTTTTACTCAGCATGATCAAGATTGGGCGTTACCTTATGTTAAATCTTGACGTGCGGACAAATCACTCAAATACAAATAATTAATCTCGTTTTTTTTTTACAAAACATTATGCAATTGAAATAAATTAATGTTGACTTTTATTTTTTTTTGTGGCAAACAGAAAAAAAAATCAAGAAATGAAGATTAAAATAAAAAGCTAGTGATAAATAAATCATTTTTACACGCAAAGCAACGTTGTACCTTGGCAATGACACTTAAAATTCCAATGATGAAAAAGTATTCAGAAAAAAAAAAAAAATTACACTACACTTTGAAAAATGGCAAGGACTTGATATTTTTCATGGAAAGAAAGTAACCCAGAAAAGAGAGATGACTTCTCACCCTTTTCGTGTGCTTTTTTCAGAAGAATAATTTCAGTGACTGGTTGCAAAAAAAAAAAAAAGAAAAAGTTTTTGCGATGTGTCCGAACAAAAACGGGACCAACAAGACAACCTGAGAGAAAAGAGAGAGAGAGAGAGAAAGAGAAACTGTGTATATGTTAGTGTGAGTGAGAGAAAGACACACACAGATTGTTTGAGCGTTGTGCCATATAATTTTGTTCTGAGCCGCAAAACCATCATGTATCATTTGCGCAAATTATAAATTCATTATATCACAATTATCATAATGCATTTGCGAAAATGCCGATGCTTTTCTCTTTCTCTCTCACTCATTCTCTATATTTCAAAAAAACCCTTTATCGGATTCCTTTGCTCCTTTAGAACTCTGGATAAGTAGCGACTTGTATTATATATATATATATATCTTTCAATATTGTTGAAGAAAAAAAAAATTCGTCTCAAATTGCCACCAATTGTAAAGTTAATTTTTCTAATAAATTCTGTAAAAATACCGTTTTTTTTTCATTATTTGTAATTTGTTTTGTTATATTCTCAAAATAAAGGAAAACATTTTTTTTTAATTTTAGCACAATTTAAAAACTCATACTTTTTAATTAAATAAAGTAAAAATTAATTTAGTTAAATTATTTTTGTTAAATTTATTAAATTAAATTTATTTAATTTAGTTAAAATAATTTAGTAAAATTTAATTAATTTAGTTAAATTAATTAATTCGACTGACATTGTACACGAGGAGGGAGACAAGAATTGAAATTAATTTGTTCCACCTTGTGAATGGTTTAGGATCACATCGCTTTATTAGGATTCGTAAAAGTTTAACACATGTTTTATATATGTATATATATGAAGTGGGATTCATTACGTAGTCACGACGGTGGCGCTAATTAATTTTATGAGTAACTTTTAATTCGAACCGATCGTTAAAATTGCGAACGAACGAGAGGCCCTCCGCCTTTTGGAAATTCGATTATTGGCACGAGATGACTTCGTATCAAATTCAGGTTGTTAATTCCTGTTTTTTTTTTTTTTTTTTTTGAATAATAATTACGATGGCAAACCGGCTGTTGGTGTATAGATAAAAATCTACCATTATTTTTTGTACGCCGAACATTCTTTATTCTTTGTGGAAAAAAATCTGTTTTATTAATTATTATATGGTCCATGTTATACAATTTTTTAAATATTTATTTATTAATTTATTTATTAATTATTTAATTTATTTATTTATAAATTTACTTATTTATTTATTCATTTACTAATTTATTTATTCACTCATTTACATACTTATTAATTTGTTAATTAATTTATTTATTCATTTACTTATTTATTTATTCATTTACATATTTATTAATTTGTTAATTAATTAATTAATTTATTTATTTATTTACTTATTTATTTATTCATTCATTTATTTATTCAATTACTTTTTTATTTCTTTATTTATTCATTCATTCATTTATTCACTCATTTACATACTTATTAATTTGTTAATTAATTAATTAATTAATTTATTTATTTATTTATCAACTTATTTATTTATTCATTCATTTATTTATTCAATTACTTTTTTATTTATTTATTTATTCATTTATTCATTCATTTACTTATTTATTTATTCACTCATTTACATACTTATTAATTTGTTAATTAATTAATTTATTTATTTATCTACTTATTTATTTATTCATTCATTTACTTATTTATTTATTCACTCATTTACATACTTATTAATTTGTTAATTAATTTATTTATTCATTTACTTATTTATTTACTCATTTACATATTTATTAATTTGTTAATTAATTTATTTATTTATTTACATATTTATTTATTCATTCATTTATTTATTCAATTACTTTTTTATTTATTTATTTATTCATTCATTCATTTATTCACTCATTTATATACTTATTAATTTGTTAATTAATTTATTTATTTATTTATTTATTTATCTACTTATTTATTTATTCATTCATTTATTTATTCAATTACTTTTTTATTTATTTATTTATTAATTTATTCATTCATTTACTTATTTATTTATTCATTCATTTACTTATTTATTTATTCATTTACATATTTATTAATTTGTTAATTAATTAATTAATTTACTTATTTATTTACTTATTTATTTATTCATTCATCCATTTATTCACTCATTTACATACTTATTAATTTGTTAATTAATTTATTTATTTATTTATTTATTTATCAACTTATTTATTTATTCATTCATTTATTTATTCAATTACTTTTTTATTTATTTATTTATTCATTCATTCATTTATTCACTCATTTATATACTTATTAATTTGTTAATTAATTAATTAATTTATTTATTTATCTACTTATTTATTTATTCATTCATTTATTTATTAAATTACTTTTTTATTTATTTATTTATTTATTTATTCATTCATTTACTTATTTATTTATTCACTCATTTACATACTTATTAATTTGTTAATTAATTAATTCATTAATTAATTTCTTTATTCACTCATTTACATATTTATTAATTTGTTTATTAATTAATTCATTCATTTATTTATTCATTTATTTACTTATTTATTAATTCATTTATTTATTCATTCATTTACTTATTTATTTATTCACTCATTTACATTCTTATTAATTTGTTAATTAATTAATTCATTCATTTATATATTCATTTATTTACTTATTTATTAATTTATTAATTTATTTATTTATTTATTTATTTATAAATTGTTTATGATAATGCAATTTAAAATCATTCAAGAACTCGAGAAAGTACACAAAGAGAAACTGATAAAAGCAAATATCACTCGATTTTTTTTAAATTTGAAGGGCCTCCAAAAATGGAGAGGAGAAATTATTGTATATGACATTTATATTTATATAATCAATCATATATACACTTATAATTTTTTTTTTTGAAATAAACAAAAAAGAAAAGAAATTTCCTTTTTCATCGCAACTTTATATTCCAAGTACAACTTGAGTTTGAAATTGTCGAGAGTCTATAAGGAAATGAATGCGAGATATAATAGGGAGAAAGCGTTTGATATGAGAAAATGCACCATGACAAGTTCACCATTGAAATTTCCGTGAGTTTGGCATCTGTCTATATATATAGTATATAATGATTGAGAGAAGGAAATGCGCAGTAAAATTTCACGATATTGCATTCTTTTCATTCTTTACACAAATTTAACAGACGTAACTTTGACAAATTACAGGTACATACGTATTCAACAAAAAAAAAAAAAAAAAAAAAAAGAAATCATGTATTTTCATCTATTGAGATTTACTTTTCTTGATAATCAATTTTTTTTTACAACCTACTAGATGTATATAAATTTTTTAATTTAATATTATAAATTATTATTATTATCGAATGGCAAATTATATGCGTCTTATCGTGAAGGAAAAACTTGTTAGTAGATTAAAGTGTTGTCGAGTTCATTCAAATTAAAACCTGATTGAATTATAATATTTTATCCTTATTTATTATCGACATTTA